GCGGAGGTTTCTGTGCCTGCGCCTGCCTCTTCCTGCCTCTGATCCCACTCCTGGGTTTTCTGAGGTTGTTTTGACTGCTGGCTCTTGAGGCTTCTTTTAGCACCCCAGACAGACTTGTTGTTTTCCAAATTTTCTGTTTTTCAGTGTTTCCACAGAGCTCTGTCTTTGAAAATTCATGGAGGGGGCAGTGTGATGTGAGGTTTTCTTTTTTTTTAAACCTCATAGACAGCAGTAGTTAGCGATGAGACCCAGACAGGAAAACTGGCCAGAAGGAAAATGGAAACTGGCGTGGCCCTGGCCACTGCTGGGAGATCAGCTGCAAACCTGTCCGAGGAGAGGAGGGGAAGAATGGCAATAACCACCTGAGCCAAGTGTGTCTGTGCTCTTGAGTGGGGGCGAATGAGCAGGGCTCCATCCACGCACTAACACCTTGTTTCCACCCTGCTCTCTTTCCACACACAGGACGGCTCTTGCAATGGTCTGCAGCACTATGCAGCTCTTGGCCGGGACCTTATTGGTGCCATCTCCGTCAATCTGATGCCCTGCAATGTCCCCCAGGATGTCTACAGTGCAGTGGCCCAGCAGGTGAGGCACAGCGGGGGCACGAAGAGGTGTCCTCTTGGACCTGTGTCCCCCCCCTTGCAGTGTGTTGCACAGGGTCACTCCAGCTCCCAAGGAGAAAGGTTGAGGTAAGACCAGTGTACAGAGGGCTGGGAAAGCATGAGCTGGTCAGAGGCAGAGAGTCTCTCCCTCCCCGAATGGGATCCACAGTGGGGATCTGGCTGGAGATCTGTCCTGACAGAGGTAGCTATGAGAAATCCACTGGGATTTCTGCTGTCCTCACTTCTCCTGAATGAAGTCTGGGAGAAGTAGGTTAGAAAGGTGGAAGAGAGCAGAGTGTTCCTCATCTCTTGACCACAGCTGGCTGGCCCACAGGTTATGGGATTTTCTTTGTTTGAGCTGGGTAGGAGGGAAAGGGGAGAGATTCAGCCTATAGCACTGCTGCTAAGTCTTCAGTTTTCTTGGCAAGACATGATGTGAAACGAGCCTGTTGGGAAGTGGGCTGAGATCTACCAGACTCGATCAACTGGTATTGAACCCCTGGTTCTCCCTTCTAGGTCTCAGCATGTTTTATCTAGGCAGCGCTGCACCAGAGGATGTGGGGGGGAGCACATGGAGGGTGCATGGTTTGCTCAGGGTTATTATTGGTGTGGCAGAGTCAGGAGAACCCAAGTCCTGAGCCACAGTCCTAGTGCCATGTCCTTGTAATGTCCGGCACCACCCAGCTGCCAAGTGACACTGCTCTGCTGAGGCAGCAGTGGAAGGCTCTGGTCCCTGCGGGCATGGTTATCTGTGAGATGCAGATGTCTCTTGATTCTGTCAGCAGATGATCTCTGTTAACCAGGGCAGATGAAGATGGGCCGCAGGGTTTCTTATGGGAGTTCAGGCCAGGCAGCGCACAGCTGGGAGGGTCTCACGTGGTGCCCCTGACTCTCCCCCAGCCATGGAGGGGGCTTGGGCCGGCATGGCTTGCCATAGGGCTGACCTCGTGTGGTGCTCTCCTCCTCAGGTGGAAGAGTTTCGGAAGAAGGATGCTGAACAGGGGGTGAAGATCGCCCAGGTGCTGCAAGGCTTCATCAGCCGCAAGGTGGTGAAGCAGACGGTGATGACGGTGGTGTACGGTGTCACACGCTACGGCGGGCGGCTGCAGATGGAGAAGCGTCTCAAGGAGATAGATGAGTTCCCTGAGGTAGCATGCCTGCCCCGGCCTCCCCCAGCAGTGTTTTGCTCAGCTCTCAGTCCCTGCTGGGAGAAGTACCTGTACTGCCTTTCCTGTGGGTTTCCTTCCTGCCTTGTTCTCTCCTTACCCCCCCAAATCTCAGCCAGCAGAGGGGTGTGCAGGACTGAGCCCCCCATACCTGTGCCAGGCTTCTCCAGCCTGCAGGAGAGCTGTCTGCCAGCACTTGTGGGTGGGGAGGGATTCTTCAGGTGGGGCTGCTCCTCATCCTTCCTGGGCCCAGCTTGGTGGCCTGACAGCCTCAGCTGGTGTTTCAGACGCAAAACAAGGTTTGTGGCTGTGCTGTTCCCTCTGGAAGTGGCCCTTGTCTCTAGCAGAGCTCTGGGAGGCTTGCTCCTCCTGGCATCTGTTTTGTGCTCTGTGACCCCACTGTGAGAGTGTGTGATTGCCGTGGCAGGTTGGTGCTGTGAGTTTCTGCTGTGTGTTACATTCCTGGGGCAGATGAGGCAGCGAGAGCCTCCTCTTCGTCCAGGGACGTTACACAGAGATCAGCCTGTCCTCGGACAAGGAGCCGTCTGAAATGCTGATATCGGCCTCACTCCATCACAACCCGCAGCCATCTGCAACAGCTCAAGACTTAGCACAATTTTGGCAATTTTGAGGCACCAGAGAGCAGGGAGATGCTCTTTTAGCTTACCGTAGGTCCCATCACTTTGCTTTGCATCTTTTGCTGCCCCTTTGCCTGACCCCTCGCTCTGCCTTTGGTCTGTGCAGGAATACTTGTGGGAAGCGTCTCACTACCTCGTAAAGCAGGTGTTCAATGGCATCAAGGAGATGTTCTCAGCAACTCGAGATATCCAGGTAAGGTGCCTGTTTCCTCTTACCTCTCTCTGCCTTTTCTTCTTGCATGGCCCACCCATACGTAGACCAGGGGATGCTCCACGGGGCGAGATAGCCTTTTCTTCTTGCATGGCCCACCCATACATAGACCAGGGGATGCTCCATGGGGCGAGATGGTTCTTCTGGGTCCTGGCCCAGAGGGGATCCTCCTATCCCAGCCCAGAGGTGTGGGATTGTGCCTGCTGCAGGGCCAAACTCCCCTGTAAGCACTGGACTGTCACAGTCATAGAATCATAAAGGTTGGAAAAGA